TATATATATTATATATAATTATGATAATATATATATAATTATTATTTACGGTAATGTATAGTTTTCATTAAAATTTAGTGTAGACATTTTTTATCATTAATAAACAATGCAGACGATTAGCAATATCATATATGTCTAGTTGATGGACAGTAAGGAGAAACTAAGTATTCTGTACAGTGTGTTGTACCAACTCACTCCTATTTTGTATGCCATCTATGTGGGTAATATTGTAAGATGTGATAGATTGCAGTTATAATGTAGAATACCACTGTGGCTGCAATGATAAGTGTGCTATCAACCCAATGTCTCTTGCATTAAATTTATTTGTGTGCAATATTACAATAAAAACAATAAATCCAAGTGTACACAATCAAATTTCTGTATGTCAGACAACAAATAATTTATGTTTCAGACCAAAGAACATATAACAAATGCGCAATTCCGTAAAACCTTTGAAAATACAAAATTTGATCTTCCCATGTAATCTAGAAAGAGCCAAGAGTAACACTACTGTATGTTGGGTCCTACAGTAAGCCTACCCATAATGAACATACATTATGTACACATATGTGATATGTGTACTCATGTACATGCTCCAATGTGCACTGCTAGAGAATGAAGAACCAACACATTCACACAGATCGTTACTCTATAAAAATATAGGTCCTCCTCTGTATAGGTTTTGCAGGCACTTTTTCCATTACAAAATGCACATTCTTTTTATATGGTCTTCATCCAGACTCATGCTCAGTCAAACCATGTATTTTTCCATGTTGGTAGTCTGAAAATGTTCTGCCTCATTAAAATCTGATGAAATCTTCTTTTGTCTGACAGACGGATATTGTACACTGCTCGTGTTAGATTATTTTTAAGTTTATCAATGCTCAACTCATGGCAATACACCCTTGGTAACCAATTGCATGATAGAAAACTCAGATTAATTAGTTTACCACAAGAATACTTCTATTATTAGTTTTTAGCATGAAATGCTGTGTTTCCTGCACAAACCTGCAGGCTAAGTATACCTGACATGGGTTTCGAGGATGAAATTCTGCTATGTAAATCTGCTCTAGCTTTGCAGAATTCCTATCATGAGATCCCCACACAAGCCTAGAAAATTACCCACAATGGGTATTAGAAATGAATTTCTGATAACCACTGCACCCCCTGCACAAGCCATCAATGTACATGTATCATGGGTCCAGCCAGTAATGGATGGATTTTAAAAAGAGGCATTGTTTAAAAGTGAGCCAGCCAAAAACAGGAAGTGAAAGAGGTTTTTTAAAGTTTGATCTATGACATCATTAAGTTTTATGTAGCATTTACCCATAGATTGGCAAGATAAATGTCATATCTCACGGTTCACACCCATATGTGACTGCGACAGCAAAGATTGCTTGCAGTGGATTTTGGGCCTTTATAATTACATGTATTTGTCACATATAATTTTGATTGTTTACTGAGATTTAGGTACTCACACACTTATGTGCAATAAGATATTATGATATAGGTATGGAACAGGTATCGATTAGAATGGAAGTATTAAGACATCAACAATTTAACCATTTCGTAAAAATTATTACATTTGTTACAGCAGAATCCATCTTAATTATATGAATCACCTCATTTTACTTACGGTATATATAGGTACTTATTTCATTCAGTGTTTACACTATATAAAACAGAGTACGCGTAAAGGTAAGACATTCACAGACTGTAGTCATAGTTTTATATATAGTAATACTCATTCCAAAAATGTAAATAATATGTTAATTATTAAGATGCATCGTCTGTTCATTTTTTTAATGAACCCTTAAATTCACTCTTGTCTTGGAAATGTGATAACTAAGTGTGTTTTGTTTTTTCTTGTCTATGCAGTCCCTGGTTCTCCATATGCAATGGTTCAATGTTAACTCTCTCAAGGGATTAATGTATGTTAGTCTCCTATTCCCGTGGACAGGACTGTTTTCACATTCTAGCGTTTGTGTTGAGTGTTTGTTCTCCATACAAAGTGCCTACGTGCATAAACACATGTGTTGGGTGGTGTGCCAACTATTGTATTATTGTACTTATGAAGTTGGAATTACTATGTAATTGAACTACTGAGTCAACATAAAGCATGATATTTAGTGTATTGTTATTGCACCATTATGTTTAAAAAATTTAGCCATATATGGCATGAATACAAGTGAAAAAAACTTCATTTTATATACATATATAACTTATATACATCCATCCTACCACATTTTATACATAGCATTCCAGTTTAAATTCATAATTTATAAATTTAATTTAACCACTAAATTGTTAAAATGAATAATTGTAGTAATGTCATAGAGTTATTATATAAACACAAAAAGGGATGCCTAGGCATGACAGAAATGATCTGTTGAGTATCTCTTTCAAAGTCAAGTCCGGTGCGCCTCAAAAAAAGCATTTGTACGCACACTTCACTGTTCTTATTCTAACTCTATGCTCAAACATGTACTAGCCATTTTGTACAAAAAAATTCTGTAATATTCTAATAACCCTATGAATACCCTATTGCCTTCCTGGTGATGGATGGGTATTATTTTTAAGAAGGGTAATTGTTTTTGTATTGCATTGATTTGTTCTACGAAATCGGATGGTTTTTTTTTTTGGGTTTTTTTTGTTGAAAATTCATGTCCTTAACTCATATAGTATAGCTTTAGTTTTAATTCATCGTTAAAAAAATAAAATACATTAAAAGGTCAGAATTAAATTGGATTGTTTATTTGAATTTTTTGTGAGTAATATGAATGATTTTTAAAACTGCTGACTGGTATCCACTGCACTCACTGTGACCTGAATCAGTATATTAGATTCTCTTTGAATCTATTTACCCATAATTACTGTTTTCCGTAGCCTGACAGGCATATACTGCCCATTCTATCAAAACACCAAATAGTAATTCCAGTTGTCAAACGGAGGCAGGGACTTCAAACTTGGCCTTGACGTATTATTTGTGTCAGGTCTTGGCTGGAGGATGAATTTTATTGCTCAAGGCACCTTTGAAAATGTTGATGACATTGTCCAATAACAATAACAACAGCACCAACAACACAGCAAAAAAAAAAAAAAAGAACAACCAGAGGCGGATTTAGAGCGTGGGGATGGGTTGCTAAACAGGTAGCACTTCTTCCCCTAAAGAGTTACCAGAATGCAAGTTTTTATGATCTTCTTCCGTTAAGTTGCTGCCTTCATCTTGTTGAAGATTCTGCAACTCTCTACAACGTCATGTGTGTCTGTGTTTGCCACCTTGCAACCATGTCGTTAATCGTATTTCTTTGGATGTATTGTATTTGTTTAATCTTAATATGCTTGAAAATAAACTTTCTCATACCTTCTCTCTTAATGTTCAATAAATAGCCTAGTAAGTTGGCCCTTTTTAACTTTTATGTAATGCGCCTCTGAATGTTCATCGACAAAACCAGCGTTATGACACTCGAGGGGACATTCCCACGGTGGTATTGATTCAAATCATGAAATTTTTGGAATTAAACCCACTCCTCCCCACCCCCTTCTCACAATACACCTTTGAAAATGTTGATGACAGTGTCCATTAATATACCAACATCAACACCAACACAGCACTAACAACAACCAATGATGAGGGTCGAATTTACAAGAGGGGTGGGGAGGGGGTGTTGACGCTAAACAGGTAGGCCTACGCTTTACAAGAGTGGGGTGGGGCGTGACGCTAAGCAGGTACGTTAACCACAGGGGCGGATCCAGCGGGGGCCATGAGGCCTGTTAGTCAAGCCGAAAAATGAAAAAGAGAAAAATTTTAAAGAGAGGAAAGAGAGTTCAGTTGCGATCCAGCAGTGGGTGAAAGGAGAGCTCGATTATTTACCACTTATTTACACCAACCATGGTGGGGCTGAGGTGGGCGTGGCGGCGTGAACTTCATTTTGTCCCTCCCTCCCCTTACCACCCCCGTCAAAAATTCTCTGGATCCGCCCCTGAAACACTCGCCATTGTATCACGATTTATTTAAAGTGTCTTTTCGAATAAAATTCATGTAAGGCCCATAGGCGTAGATCCCGGGGGGGGGGGATGGAGGGGATATATCCCCCCAATAATTGACAAGGGGGGATGGTCCATTGTATCATCCCCCCAATATTTTGACTGTATGGGATAAAATGGAGCTTTACACACTTCAAAAGACTGTCACAGAAATAATTTGCACTGTCTTATGCGCTTACAAAGATGAAAATCATAATGTATTAA